CGGTCTTCCTTATTCACTGTCCAGCTTTTGCATCCATATGAGGTTACTAAAAATACCATGGCCTGGGTCCTTAGTCCTCAAGCTGACGTCTTTGCTTTACAAAGAATCCCTTCTCCTGCCTCTGTCAGCACCCCCTCAAACCCACCGCCATCGATTCTGACTCAGCGGCCCTAGAGGACAGAGTAGAACTGCCCCAGAGGGTTTCTAAGACTGAGATTCCGTACAAAACCAGACTACCTCATCTCCCATTGGCTGAAGAGCTGGTGGGATGGAACCACTGATCTTTCAGTTAGCAGCTAAGTGCTTAACCCATGGCACCACTAGGACTTCTTGCTGCTCACGTTGCAGATGAGGAAACTGAATCTCTGTTGGGGAAATGGTCAGGGAGAAAAACAGTTGTGAGGCCACCTTGGCACAATGACAGCTTTGGAGGGGAACCTGTTAGGTGGGCGGCCTGCCCGGGGGCTCTGTAAAGCGCCTTCAGGTCTGCTTACCCCCTCTCAGTGCCATTTCTCTGCCCTCTCCTTTTCAGGTCCTTACATGCCCAGAACCTGTGGGCACCCCACCGTGCATGGTGAGCTGGGCACAGGAGACTGCGTCTAGCTGACCAGAGACCCCGTTCTCTTCCAGACTGAGGGGAAAGGCTCCAGGGCCTCCCCACCGGCCTCACAGAGGATGCAGTTCTTCGGCCGCCTGGTCAACACCCTCAGCAGCGTCACCAACTTGTTCTCTAACCCGTTCCGGGTGAAGGAGGTGTCTGTGGCAGAGTATGACGCAAGCACCCGAGTCCAGGAGGAAGGACAACTGATTCTGTTCCAGAACGTCCCCAATCGCACGTGGGACTGTGTCCTGGTCCATCCCAGGAACTCACAGAGCGGATTCCGGTGGGTCTGATATCACAGCTGGGCCTCACCCTGCTCTCCTTTGCCTCCTCCCTCTGCTCGGCCTGAGGGTCTCTCAGCCAGGCGAGAAGCAGCGTCTTTGGGTTTATGTCTAAGGGTCTGGAGAGGGTGGGTGGACGGGAGAACGCCCCCCCAGAGACATGCCTTTGCTCTTTGAATGGTAGGAGAGGCTTCCCAGGTCAGCCCTCAGGCTCTCACAGCAGCAGGGACTTGGGGACAGAAAGCAGAAGGTAGGAGGCAGGACAGGACGGGGCAGCTGAGAGGGCCGCTTGCTCAGATAAGGCCTCTGTGATAACTGAGGAGTTTTTGCTGTGGTCATCTTTAAAGCCGTGCCAGGCTACAAAAGAGTTGGCCAGGGTCAGCTCCAGAGAGCCTCCAGGGGTGGGTGGAGCGGTCATTTCTCAGGGCACCTGGGACTCCAGGCAAGGACAGGGAGGCAGGACAGGGCTGAGGGAACTGAGCTCAGGACTGGCTGGGAAAGAAGTTGTTGTTATGTGCTGTGGAGTCGATTCTGACCCATAGTGACCCTGTACAGGGTTTCTGAGGCTGTAAATCTTTACGGGAGCAGAAAACCACATCTTTCTCCCTGGCAGCAGCTGGTAGTTTTGAACTGCTGACCCTGAGGATAACAGCAAAGATTTCAAATTGTAGGATCCTGAGGAGCTGGGCGGGCTGGCCTGGAGCTGGGCCGGTGCCGATGTCTGTCTTCCATTCATCCAACAACCTGGCTTTCCCATCATCCATCCATTCATTCCACACTCGCCGGGGTCCCCAGTGTCCCTGACCCTGGCTGAAGCCTACCTGTACAGTGAGATGCCCCAGCATGGTGTGGAGGCGGCATGCAAGCCAGGACTGCAAGGCCCGCTGAGGAAGGCCAGGACAGGGGTGATGGTGGTTATTATTGCTAAGTGTTGTCCAGTTGGTTCCGACTCCTAGAGACCCTGTGGAGTAGCTGGTGGGTTTGAACCGCCAGCGTTGCTAGGAGTCCAATGCTTCTCTGGCAGCGCCACGCCAAGACTTCCAGGACAGAGGTAGAGCCCAGGAAACAGCAGCAATGAGCACTTGGGGTGGTGGAGGCGGCTGCACTCTGCATTCAGAAGGGGTAGGAGTTTGTCTGGTAGGACAGAGGTGCCGGTGAGGCCTCTCCTCCCTCAGGAGATGCAGAGGCCAGGCAGTGTGAGCGCTCTAGCCGACTCCTCAGGGCCTCTGGGCACTGGTGAGAAGAGACCAGAGGGGACAGCTGGGGCTATTCTGATTGCTCAGGGCTGATGGCAGGTATCTCAGGAAGTGACCACCTGGGGGGCCAGACACCAGGAGAAGAGCAGAGCAGGGTGTTGGGGCCCTAGGCTTAGTTCCTATGAAGAATTGGAGTACCAACAAGGAAACTGAAGCAGACTGTTGCTCAGTGTACAGACCAGATGTTAGTTTGAACCCAAGCCAAACTCGGATTGTCTGGCCTTTGCTTGCCGTCTGGCAGGACTGGCCTGCAGTGAGGGCTGTCCGTCCGGCAGGCACTGCTGACCAGGGCAGTGGGTTCCCCGCTAAGTCTGTTAGCTTTTCCTCCCAAGACTTCCTTAAATCTGCATCTTCTCCACCTCTGAGGATTCCGTTGTGTTTGAGTGACGTTGGTGGTGTGTGCTGCTCACAGCAGCCCCAGGTGACGGAGTAGAACTGCCCCGTGGGGTTTTGGAGGTTATCGCTCCTTCTCCTGCAGAACTATTGGCTGGGTTGGAGCCACCAGCCTTTCGGTTAGCAGCTGCATGCTTAACCATTGTTTCACCAGAGCTCCTTGCTTGAGTAATACTCAAAAAATCAAAACCAAACTCACTGTCATCCAGTCCATTCCGACCCGTAGCGACCCTGTGTGGGGTTTCTGAGGCTGGAAATGTTTACGGGAGCAGACAGCCTCAGCTTTCTCCCGAGAACTTAGTCTCCAGCGCCACCAGCCTCCTTAGCTCCGGTGATGTTGCTCCCTGCAGTCAAGTTGGTTCTGCTTCTGAGGAGTTGCTGGTGGGTTTGAACTGCTGACCTATGGTTAGTAGTCCAGTGTCTAAACAGGATAGAACTTTAGTTTTCTCTCAAGTGAAGTCAGGACAGATGACGGTGAGTCTGATAGCTCTGCCCCACAAGGTCCCAGTGACACCAAGCTTCTTCCATCATGTCTGATGCCCTGGGCCACCTCATGGTCCCAGGCGGCCATGCCAGGCTTTGCCACCATGTCCACCTTGCTAGTCAACAGGCATGTGGAGGGTGGGTGAAGCAGGGCATGCACCCTCTTTTTAGTGACATTTGTTACAAGTTGCTCTTGTGCCTTCCACCAACTCCCATTGGCCAGACTGTAGTCACATGGCCACAGCTTCCTGCAAGGGATGCTGGGAAATGACTTGTATTCTAGATCGCCATAATCCAGTCAAGAAGTAGGGGTTCTAGGCCTCCCTCCTTTTCGCTGCTGATACTTTTTTCTATGCCATTGTCCTTGAACACTTTGGCCCCAGCAAACAGCCTCCCTGCCTGTTTGTCTCACGGTCCTGCTCTCTGTCCTCTGTCCAGCGGGCAGATCTGAACCCACCGCTCCCTGCTTGCCTCTTGAGGGTGTGTTTCCTCAGCACACCAGTGCTTGTTGCTGTTGTTGGTACCACTGAGGGTAGGACTGCCCTCTTTACGGGAGCACGTTGCTGGGTCTTCCGCTCATGGAGCCACATGGTGGGACCCAACTGCCAATCTTTTGGTTAGCAGGCGAGTGCTTAATTTTCTGTGCCACCCAGGCTCCTTATCAGGTGCTTAAAACCCTAAACCAAAGCCACTGCCATCAAGTCAATTCGAACTTATAACAACCTGTCTGCCTAGGATTCCCACGGCACAGAAAGCCTGTCTTTCTCCTGTGGAGTGGCTGGTGAGTTTAAGCTGCTGACCTTGTGGCTAGCAGTCCAGTGCTTATTCTACAGCACCACCCAGGAATGACTGAAATGGGCCCGAGTGCTGGAGGCTCTGTTGGCCCCCGACCTCTGCCCAGGCTCTTAACCTCACCTGACCTATGTTCCCCTCACTGCTGCCCCCTCTGGGATTGTCCTGCTCTTTATGGAAGAATCCGTGCTTCCAGCACCCCTCCCTGCCTTCCTGGTAGACTGCCAACTCCATGAAGGTTGGGGGTGTCTGTCCCGTACACCACTGTGTCCAGCACGGTGCCTGGCACATGTCAGGCGTGGTATAAATCACATGACTTGCTCACTTGAGCATGCGGACCAGTGTGTGCTGGGCCCCTTTGCATGGAGGGGCTTGAGGGTCATTGAAGGAGTGAGCTGGAGGTGAAAGTCGGAGGCTGGAGTTGAGGTTCAGGAGAGTTACAACAATGGTGAGTGAGTGATGGACTGGGGTGGGAGTGGAGGGTGGTTGGTGAGCAAGACTTTGGAGCTGGGGTCAAGATGCTGCACCAGAGCCCTGCCTCTGCCTTGCACACTCAGCAGCTTGTATGGGGAAGGCTCGGCATGAGGGACTGAGGTTCTGCTTCCTCAGTGTGTCCTCCTTGATCTCCCTGGAGGACTCTAGCCTATCCCCAGGTAGCTCAGTGTGTTAGAGGTGGACATCTGGGTCCTGCTGCAGCCTCAGGCCCTAGTGTCCTGCTGCCCTTCTGCTGCTTGTGGTCAGCAGACTTAGGTGCCGTATGGACTTGGCGTTTGTGGCTTCCGAATCCACAGGTTTTACAGCCCACACCATCCCAACTGGGTGGGCCCTGCCGTTACAGATGACAACGGAAACAATGATAGTTGTATCTCTGGTTTAGGAGTGCAGACTGCTTGAAGGAACCCTGGTAGCAAAAGTGGGTAAGCACTCGGCTGCTACCCAGAAGATTGGTGGTTCAAACCCATCCAGGGACTCTGCAGGAGATCTGCTTCCATAAAGAGGTTGTTCTCGGAAGTCTTAGGAAGCAGTTCTACTCTGTCACGTGGGGCCGTGCCTCAGTTGTCTAGAAATGCAGCCGGGTGACTTCAACAAGCAGAAGTTTATTCTTTTACAGTTTCGGAGGTTAGAAGCCCGCTCCAGTGGAAGGTGTTCTTTCTCTGTGGGCTCCGGGCAAGGTGTTCGTCTCCTCTCACCGCCTGTGGGCCTGGCGTTCCTTGGAGAGCTCCATGTGTCTTGACATCAGTCTTCCCCTGAGTCTAGGAGGTTCTCAGGGTAGGGACCCTGGCCCTGAAGGCTGTGCTCTGCTCACAGCTCTTCGTTTCTGGGGTCCACACTGAGGTCCCTCCTTCTCTGCTCACTTCTTGCTCCTTTTATCTTTTGTAAGAATAAAGGACAGGGGCTCTGGTAGCATAGTGGGCTATAAGGTGGGCTGCTAACTTCAAGGTCAGCAATTCGAATCTACCAGCTGCTCCGTAGGAGAAAGATGAGATTTTCTACCCCAGAAACCCTCCACAGGGCTTCTGTGAGTCAGCGTTGACTCCACTGCACGTAACCACAGCAACAAGATAAAAAGTGGTGCAGGTCACACCCCAGGGGAACTCCCCTCCCATCAGGACCAGGGCTGTGGTCTGAGTGAGGGAGTCATATCCCACCCTAATCGTGCCTCATTCACATAGCAAACATCACCTAACCCTCTTTAACACAACCTGATCTGCCCTCACTAACCAGGGAGCTCATCAGATCTCACAGGGGGATACTGGGAATCATGGCCTAAAATGGACAGAATTCAGTCCCTGACAGGCTACCCTGAGTCAGAATGAACTGAACAGCACCTCACAACAACAGCAATGTGCATGACACTAGTCTGTGAACTTCACTACAGCCCTAGGGTTGAGAGGACTGTTAAATTGGCCCCATTTAGTAGACAAAGGAACAGGGCCAAAGCCACACAGCTGTTCTAGAACCTCCTCCATCAAGGCCTGCTTGGTCGTGGTGAGGTGGACTTCTCACTGGGACCCTCCCTGCCCGACATATGGTACAGGGCACTGGCTCGTCTGTGAGAGGCCGGGGTAGTCACTGGC